GGGGGAGCGCCGCTCAGCCAGAAGCCGGGCTCATGGCTGGCAAGCGCAGCAGTGGTGGGAGCCTCTCCCGCCTCAGTGGCAGTCGGACATCCCCCAGGGACTCCTGGATTGCGAGAGGGCACAGGCTGGGCTGAGGGACCCCTCCCCCCCACCACCGTGCATGAATTTTGTGCACTGGGCCTCTAGTAAATAAATAAATAAGGATATCATCTGCCAGTTGGTTATTTGTTTAAGGTAAAAAAAACAAAAAAGCAGGCAGAGTGAAAGGCTGGAGATGGTCAGGGAAGGCTTCTTTGAGAAGGTGATACAGGTGAGCAGAGAGCAGACTAAAGAGCAGTGAGGCAGCCCATGATGATCTCAAGGAAGAAGCTTCCAGGGAGAAGCAACAGAGTCTCAAACAGGTTCATGTCTTAGGTGTCACTATTCTAAGGGTTTTACGTGCCTTTATTCACTTACTCTTTGTGACTGTGGTAAGGAAATATTTGTAACAGCCCTATGATTTCTTTACAAAGATGAGACTGTGGTAAGAGTCTGGATTGGAAGCAGGAAAGTCGGGTTAACCAGGTGGGACATGATGGAGGAGTAGACCAGGGCAATAGCAGTGAAGGTAATGAGAAGTGGTCAGGTTTGGGATATAATTGGAAAATAATGCATGATTTTCTGATGGATTGGAAATGGAGTATGAGAGAAGAAGACTAAAGGATCATTTCCAAGTCTTGTCTGGAAAGTGACTGACTTATGGAGTTTTTTATGAAGAAGAAAATTATTGTAGAAAGAGACAATTTTACCTGTTTGTCCATCCATGATTAAGATTTCTCTTAGACACCACACGTAGATTGCTACTCACTTGTATTTGGAATCTAGTGGAGAGGGCAGGGCTGGAGAGATAAATTTGGAAGTCATCAGCATATAGATGGTATATAAAGCATGGGACTGGCCGAGATCACCCATGGAGAGAATGTGGTGAAAGAGGTTGAAGACTGAATGCAAGGCACCCTGAGATCTAGAGGTTGGGAAGAGGAGATTCAGCTAAGGAGACTGAGAGGAGCAGCCTGGGTCCCAGAAGACAAGTGGAGAAAGAATCGCATGAAGGGGAAAGCACTCACCTGCACCAAGCACCGTGGAGAAGTTACATTAGGTGAGGACCGACAACCAGGCACGAAGCACTGAGAACTGGGAACTAAGTATCGGATTTGGTAACGTGCTGCTTCTACCAGGCCCAGCTCAGAATCAATTCCATGGGCCCGTGTTATCAATGATTCCCTTCAATGATCACAGCATGTTTCACAGGCATCCTTTAGTAGGATTATTTATCTGTGTCCATCCCACTAAATTATTAATTCCAAGAGACAGATACCATATCCTGATCTTTGTATCACTAATTATGCAAGTGACATTGTTCAAAATAAGCTCTGAAACCCTTCGTTTGTGTTTTTCATCCACAGAAATTCACTAAGAGGTTTAAGTGGACAGTTATTCCAAAATACCATGTGATTCTCATTTGTAAAAGTCACATTTTGTTTTAGAGGATTCTCCAGGACAGGGGATTATTGCTATGAAAATGACTAAGCTATAGTCTTACAAAGATAATAAATATTAAAAATGTATTTTTTAAATAAAAAGTTTTGCTGGTTAGCCTGGAACAATTATATCCCCCTTCCTGTATTGCAGTAGTGAAGCAAAACTCTGACCATACAGGATGTAGGTCTAAGATAAAATAAATTTGTATCCACACTCAATGTAGAAGCCAGTTCCCGAACATAGTTCTTTAAAGGAGGATAGAAGATTAT